CCCCAAAACCCCAAAACCCCAAAACCCCAAAACCCCAAAACCCCAAAACCCCAAAATAACTATAAAATATTGAAAACTTAGTCATCTTTTTCAAGGTTGACCTTCCTCATAATTTTCTTAAGGAAGCTAAACTTTTTGAGTCTCTTGATAAACCTCTCATATTCTTCAGGAGAAGTACCCTCTTTGATCTTTTCAAGTTCTTCAAGTGTTATGTAGATTACTCCAGCGGTATTTCCAGCCTGAGCAGTATCGTAGTGGGCTTCTGCAGACTCGAGGAGGACTTCTTCACCAATAGGCCATCCAACCTTGCATATTCCATAATACTCATCTTGGGTAGCTTCTTTAAGTCGGATCAGGCCGAATAGTACGAAGTATATCCTATCTGGTTTTGCCTTTTTAGGAATAACTTGCTTTTTCATCCTAATCGATTCTATATCTCTTTCCTTCAGGATATTCACAACTTGGTCATGGCAAAGGAACTTCAGAGCTGGGTGGTTCTGCACGATAGCCTCGATAGAAATTAAACTTGGCTCTTCCATAAGTTTGGTTGCCTTCTTTTTATTCAGGTCTTTATAACAGTACTGAAACTTCTTCTCTATTTTATTTAAGTTCATTCTCAGATAGGTCCTCTGCATCATCTGGATCCTTCAGGGAGTTCCACTCTGCTAGTTGCTCCTTGGTGAGCTCAGACTCTATTATAAAGTTATCCCCAATTTCAAGGTCTTTCTCAAAGTCTAGGAATGGCTCTGGCTTTGTAGGCACAGTCGCTGCTTTAGCCATGTCTAAATTCTTAGTCTTTTTGGACTTCTTAGGATTTTTAGTCTCTTCTTTAATATTCACTGTCTTATCCTTATCCTTAGCTTTAGTTTTCTCCTTTTTCTCTTCTTGAGTGAACTTCCTCTTTAGGTCTACAGATTAGGGATATTCTTACCCAGAGGCATTGACTTGTTGAGGCTCTTCTTCTGTTTTTCGTGTTTCTCATGCTCAATAGCTCTTTCATCAGTCATAAGGTTGAATTCTTTAAATTTACCTTTCTTCGACTTAAGACCATACTCCTGTGTTTTAACATGCATGACGTGAGAGTTCTTCTCGAGGAAGGCCTCTACAAAATCGTCTCTCTCAATCTGCTCTTGGGTTTTCTTCTTTTTGTCCTTTTTCTTCTTCCTAATCTTCTTCTCTTCTTGTTCCGGAGGAGTCATAACTGTTGTTATATGAGTATCCCTGTTTATCGGTTGGAGATAATGAGGTTTATCACTTGATATAATATTCTTCTTCCTAGTAGACTTCTTTGTCTTCTTCTTAGGCCTTCTTTGTATCAGATCTTCATCAGCATTATCTGTAGATACCTTTACTCTAGTCTTAAACTCTTCGTCTTTACTCTGGTCGGGAGCTGTATTTTTGATTCGTGGTAGGGAAACGCTATCAATGTTACGATTTTTCTTGACTTTAGAACCTAAGAGCCTTCTTTCCATTGGCCTTGGCTTACTACTAGTGCTTCTCAACTTTCGTGATCTATAGATTTACTTAATGGCATTTTTTACTGCCTCAAAGTGAGATATCCTTCATCTTTAGAAAGATTGACATTCTTATGCGAGAGCTTTAACTTATTTAAATTTCGGTTGCTTTAGTTCTACTGGCTTGTAATCTAAAAGGGTTGTCAAACTAACTTGCAACGGTAATAGAAGTATATATTTCCACTTGGCTTACCAATTAAAATCTGCTCTCTCCTCGAAATCTCCTTAGCAAACTTCTTATTTGTTTTCATCAAAAAATTAATTGTCCATATTTTTGATTTTAATGGGGTTTTGGGGTTTTGGGGTTTTGGGGTTTTGGGG